TACTTGTGTATTAATGCAGCTTAAATAATCATACATCAATTTTCAAAGCGGCGTCGACATCTTCCATAACTACAGAAAGAGAAGTACATTCTGTCATATTTTAATCTCTCATTCAAAATACGTCAAAAATAGCGTAAAACACTTTATATACATTAACATTCAATATATATAGCGCAACTAAAAAGTATAATACAGAAAATGGGAAAAATCTACGTTCAAAGAATGGAAATGGGTTTTAAAGTTCAGACTGACTGGCTGACTCTAAACTCTATGGTTTTACGTTTATACAGAATTTGATTTTATAAGTAATAAGGTCAGATTTAATAAAAGATGTCGATATGACGTAGTTAAACTGAGCTGAAAATTTTATAATGATGTATATCGAGATTAATATTAAATCTTCTCTCTTTGCTAATCTCAAGAATTTTTTAAAAGTCGTTTTTTTTCTTAAAAAGAAAAAACACACTATGACCCTTATTCTCATTTACATAAGGTTTTAAAGATTGAATTGAAAAGTTCTTCCGAAAATATCGTCGTCAGTCTCTTTAAAGTATTTTCTCCTTGTTTATAAATTTTGTCATATCTTCGTAAATGTGCGGTCCAAACTTGAAGTGAGGGGGCAGGATGGGGTTTATTAAACTAATAAAACAAGATAATAAAATATACTGAACAAAAAGTTCTCCAAGATCTAACAAACCTGATTAAAGATGATTAAAGAAGAGGTTTAGCTTTAATATGTGGTAAACCAACAAAACCATAGATACAGGGGGTAGGACACGTAAACCCTAGATACAGGGGGTAGGACACGTAAACCCTAGATACAGGGGGTAGGACACGTAAACCCTAGATACAGGGGGTAGGACAAGTAAAAAAAGATTTTTCAATCCGTTGGTTGGAGAAATTAACTGGGCAGACATGCTCATCTCGACATCGTTCATTCAAAACTAACTTATAGTGCAGTTGATATTTTTCTTCGTCCGTTTATAAGTTAATAAGTTAATAATTTAATGAGTTAATAAGTTAATAAGCTAATAAGTTAATAAGTTGATAAGTTAATAAGTTAATAAGTTAATAAGTTAATAAGTTAATAAGTTAATAAGTTAATAAGTTAATAAGAAGTTAATAAGTTAATAAGTTATTAAGTTAATAAGTTAATAAGTTAATAATTTAATGATTAAATAAGTTAATAAGTCAATAAGTTAATAATTTAATAAAATGATAAGTTAATAAGTTAAAAAGTTAATAAGTTAATAAGTTGATAAGTTAATAAGTTAATAAGTTAATAAGTTAATAAATTAATAAGTTAATAAGTTAGTAAGTTAATAATTTAATGAGTTAATAAGTTAATAAGTCAATAAGTTAATAATTTAATAAGTTAATGAGTTAATAAGTTAATAAGTTAATGAGTTAATAATTTAATAAGTTAATAAGTTAATAAGTTAATAAGTTAATAAGTTAATAATTTAATGAGTTAATAAATCTATCTATCTATATATATATCTATCTATCTATCTATCTAGCTATCTATCTATCTGTCTATATATCTATCTATCTATCTATCTATCTATCTATCTTTATCAATCTATCTTTATCTATCTATTTATCTATTTATCTATTTATCTATTTATCTATTTACATATCAACTTTGTAAAGAAACCACAATTTATAATAACCATTTTTAAAATTATATAAATGTATTATTTAATTTTGGTCAGAAAAGTGTTTAAGGGTACTTTTGTGAATAGGGCTCGCCAAATGTACCCCTAAATGTACCTCTAAATGTACCCCTAAATGTACCTCTAAATGTACCCCTAAATGTACCCCTAAATGTACACCTAAATGCACTTAATCTCATTAAAAGAGGCAGATTTGTTGAGCACATCGTCCCCGTTTTAATGAGTCAGTTTCTACATTGTACAGAGTTGCACAGGATGCCTAAAAGTCTGCTGAACACTTCAAATGTTTTTAGTGAACATCTACAGTTATAATAAAAATACTTAATTTTGTTACTCCTCCTGTTGAATTCCCCTGCACCCCTTTTTTATTCCTGAACCAACTTAATATTAAAAGGATTATCTCCCCCCCCCCAAATCAAATAAGGTTTGAACTACACAAAAAAGTTACAGCATAAAAAATTAAAAATATTGCTTTTATTATTTTTTGATAATTGCTTTTCTTCTTGTTGTTGAGTTAAACACCTCCCCCCTTTCCCCATCTCTTCCCCACTTGATGTAAACCCC